GAAAGAGCTCCAGAAGAACCAGCCACACCAGAGACTTATACCCCACTGGGATGGATTTATGTGTTAGCCGGCATTACTGTGAACTGTGGTGAAGTTTTCAATGCTCAGTCCTGTTGCGCAGAGCCTGAGGTATGACCATCTTAGGGCCAGCTGAGGAGGCTGAGTGATAGATTTCACCAATACTACCCCAGACTCAGGCAGCATGGTATGCTGCACAACCCCATTCACCAGAGGGAGAATGGGAAGTAATCACACAATCTTGCCCTCAAACTTGCTAATGGGGTGGTTAAACTTAAAACTGGCTAGTACTAATGGCTATCACCCTCAGGCCTGCCTGAGAATGAAGTTTATGGCAGAGCCCCATGCCAAGGGATACAAGTGACCACAGTCTGTCAGAATGCTAGTGTCACCTCTAAATGGAAACAGCAATTTTGAGCCATGAGTACAACTCAGAAACTGGTAGTATATACTAATTTGGGCTTGGTGCTGTTCCAGCCCTCTACTGGTCTTTGTGAGCTGTGGGCACAAGGCGTGATACAGCTTGGCAACACTGCATCTCACTAACATGGCATAAGATGGCCTTTTCCATCCATTCAGTCCACCCAGAGCCAGGCAGAATCCCATAGGTCAGTTAACTGTGGATAGCCTGTACCTTCCCCAGCCACAGGGAGAGACTCATGGGGACAGAATACTCTTTCAAAATACTATTCTGGATCTTTCTGAATAAAACAACAGCAATTTGGGGAAACCTGGGTGTGGACTGTCCTCTCACACATCTATGGCAGACTCTACAAATTTGGACCTAAACACCACCCACAGCTGATTATAGTGGAATAAACCACAAGCTGAGAAAATAAACAACCAGTTCAGAATTTTTGGAATGATAGGCATAAAGCCAGATTAGTATGACTGAAGTAAACACCAAATCCTTCAATGCCCAAGTGTCACTGCACACCAACAACCATCAACAGAATTCAGCTAACCCTGGCCTCACCTAATAAGCTGCCAGAAAGTTAACAAAGATGAATTAGTAACAGTGATGGCAAACCTTTTAGAGCTTTCAATGATAACAAACGCATGCACAGGTTCACCACCACTGTTATAGGAGAATTCTCAAATACAGAATTTTAAAAAGCTGTTTTAAGAAAACACAATGATCTTAAAGGAAACAAAAATATTTTAATACACTGAAAGAAAATCTTCATAAAGAGAGGAAAGCAATTTTAAAAAATCAAACAGAAATTCTGAAGCTTAAAAAACCATCAAATGATATTTAGAGGATTAAACAATATTTAGAGGATTCAAGTCACCAGGATCTTCTATAGAGTAGAATTCCTATACTTGAACACCTCTTCTTCATGCTGTGTTAAGAACTACACTGTCTCAAGGAAAACAAGACCATCAGCTGGATATGGTGGTGCATGCCTATAACCCCAACACTCAGGAAGCTGAGAAAGATTGCAGCAAATTTGAGGGTCACCCTAGGCTACATAAGTTCAAGTCCAGCCTGAACTACATAGTGAGACCTTGTCTTAAAGAGGGAGAGAGAGAGAGAGAGAGAGAGAGAGAGAGAGAGAGAGAGAGAGAGAGAAGAAAAGACAACCATCATCCAGTATCCCAATATCCTTGGTAGAAACTCATGTTCCTGGAAACTAAATTCTGTAAGTGGTAGGCAGGCTAGTTCATGGAGGATGGGATAAGAAATTCTACTTTCAGAAAATCAAACAAGAAACCCTATAGTTGCAACTACCACATAGTAACAAATCAAAACTTCACACAATTATTTCCTTGAGGATTCAATGAAGTTTGGATATGCTCATCTGATACCTGGGTAAAATAAATGTCATACTAGTTTGTAACAAAACCCTTCAGGTCAGAAGACAACCATCATCCAGTATCCCAATATCCTTGGTAGAAACTCATGTTCCTGGAAACTAAATTCTGTAAGTGGTAGGCAGGCTAGTTCATGGAGGATGGGATAAGAAATTCTACTTTCAGAAAATCAAACAAGAAACCCTATAGTTGCAACTACCACATAGTAACAAATCAAAACTTCACACAATTATTTCCTTGAGGATTCAATGAAGTTTGGATATGCTCATCTGATACCTGGGTAAAATAAATGTCATACTAGTTTGTAACAAAACCCTTCAGGTCAGAGTTGGATGTGAACTCATTCTGTACATCTCCCATGTCACAGCATCATAATCTTGGATCTCACCACACCATTTGCAGAGCTTTTGGAATCAGTACTTGCATATCTGGAGCACACTACCAGGACCATCTTCTGACCACATGTTAATTCACAGCACATCCATAGTCACAACTTTTCCACTGCCTGACCTGAGAATCCTATGTTAACATCACACAGTGGTGGCACAGATCCACAGATCACAGGTAAAAACCCCTTAACTAATATTTTTCTGCCCCTACCAGGAAGTACCCAGGGCTCCATTCACATTTTCAACCATGTGCAGGAACACAGAATGCAACCTGACTCCTCAGACCACCCTGGCAAGAGTCAAAAAGTGTCAGGAATTCGTGGACATAGATATGTTAACTATGTTGACTGTGGGGCTGGCTTCATAGATGTGTGCACATATCAAGAAAATGTATATAGCATACTAAAATATATGCAGATTATTATGTCAATTATACTTCAGTAAATTTGTTTTAAAAAAGTAGCATGCATATAGGTTCAAAAGGAAACATACAATCCTGAATAGGTAAAATTTTTTAAAAGGTTAAGAATTCAATAGCTAGCCATCAGTCTCATAACATAGAAAAGCCAAATTGTAATAGGAGAGTGAAGACTTTTTAGTGAAAGAGAAAAATTTAACTGTATTGAAAGTAAACATATTATCTAGAGTACGAAATGTTTCTTTTAAAAGGCCAATGAAATTGAACTGGGTATGGTGATGCACACCTGTTATCCCAGACTTGTGAGGGTGAGGCAGGAGGATTGCTGCAAATTAGAGACCAGCCTGGACTACACAGTGAGTTCAAGGTCAGCTTGAACTACACAGTGAGACCTTATCTCACAAAACCAAAGCATAAAATAAAAGTAACATAAAATACTAATGCAACTGAAAGAACTCTGGTAAATTTGATTATGAAGAAGTATGTATTATTATTTAACTGTAACATATGCATGTGTATATGTAGTCATACCTCATTTAATGGTGGTGATACACTCTGGGAAAGGCATTTCAGGGTGACTCTCATTGTGCAAACATTCCAGAGTGCACTTACACCAAGTCGGAAAGGAAAGCACAGCCCATTACACACCCAGGCCAGGTGTTTTAGCCACTACTGTATAAACCCATCATTGACCAAAATGCTGTTATGCAGCATATGACTATACTTATGAACTGTGTAGACCTGCTAGAGATGAATAAATACACATGTTGAACTAAAAAGACAACATTTATACAGATCCTTTCCTTTTAGACACATGTAAATGCTGGGAGTTGCACAGTGGGAGTTAAGAAAAGGACTGTCTTTTGAATGAAAGCTGCTGGGAAAACAGAGCATCTATGTAGCAAATAATGCTTTGGTATCTTTTCCTCATACCACATTATAAATCATTTCAGAGGAAAGAAATCCTTAAATATAAAAGGAAACTAAAACATTCAAAAGTTCCTTTAGAAAAGTATCTTTTCAGAGTCACACAAATCAATATTAAATATAAAGTATTCATAAAACAGACTGCATAAAAATAAAAATTGCATTCATCAAACAAAATCATTTAAAAAAAAAAAAAGTAAGAAGCTATGGACACCACTGGAGAGGCGGACACAGGAAGATCCCCATGAGCTCAAGGCCAGCCTGGGATATACAGTAAGTTCAAGACTAGCCTGAACTACATTAGCAAGACCCTGTCTTAGAACAATCAAACAAAGTACAAAGAGACTTCAACAGTCACATATAGTAAATATACGTGAAAATATATATGTGAAAATATAATCACATCAGACAAACATAAACAATATTCATAATAACGACGTGGGACAACTGAACTATCATGAACAAAGGATGGATGAGAGTTGTTATTATCCAGATGAAGTATACAGAATTTATAATTAAAATTTACAAATGCACTTAGAAAAATCTGATTACACACATCCCATGTAGGTAATAGAACAGATTAATCTACACCATTACATCAAAACTTCAAGTTGCTTAATTTGTAGTGGAAAGAATCAAAACTTAAAAATTCTCAAATTCATTTGTAAGATTAAAATATACGCATAGATGTAATTACCCAAGAAACTTCTGAACTGTAAGAGGTGGGGATGCAGCTCAGTGTGCAGGTCCTGGGTCCACGCCACTACCCCATGTAGATCTCAGAGCTGGGAATGTAGCTCTGGGTAGTGTGTGCCCAAAAGGTGCAAGGTCCTAGGTTTCATCTCATCACAAACAATAAAGGTGGAGACTATGGGCTGGGAGCTGGAAGTTAAGGAATTTATCGCCACACGAAGGAAGAAGTTAGATGGAGGGTGCACGACTCAGAATCTGAGACACCCCCCACCCCCGCTTCCCAGTCTTTAGAAATCACAAAGGAAAACAAGTAACCCTGGAAAAGTAGAAGGAGCTGGGGACCTTAGGGACACAGTAGCCCGCAGAGCTGGGCCTGTCCCGAGGATCCCGTACGCCGGGACAGTGCTGCAGCGCACGGCGGGGACTGGCGTCGCCACGCAGGGCCGTGGCAGGTCCTCGAGGGCTGGGCTACCGCCCTAACTACCTGGAAGGGCCGAGAAAGCGCTCCTGCTG